TGCTATTTAAAACAAGTAGAAGGGCAGGGAAGGGTCAGCAGATGGAAGAACAGCATGAAATACAGCTATGTGTATAGTTTGAGCCCTACTGCCAAAGCGCACAGACACCTCACCCACCGTGCCCCTTCAGCAGGGAGCAAGGCATCCTCAGGAATTCTGTCAGAGACTGTTTTCCACAAGTGTTGAGAATGACTGGCGGCTGTCACTCCCAAGGCACTGGATACAGTTTTAAATCTGGGGCACCCCTGAAACAGCCCACTGTCACCCCAAAGGCTACCGCCACTAATGAGACAGCTCTCCCTGCCACTTTGGGGTTACAGAAGGGTTCAGTTGTTTTGCAGGAAACCAGGCTATCTGACAGCAAACTTCCCAGGCCCTTACCTGAACCTGAGGTGAAATACTTAAGGAATCAGTGCAAGAAAAAGAACAGGCTTCAGGGCACAGCAGCTCAGATAGGCAAGTACAGGAACGGCGGGGACAGCCGGCCTTCATAACAGGGTACCCGAATGCATGAATTCACATCTGAACCCCATTTCTTGTCATGGGAGAATTTCTAACCTCTGTGAGCTTCCCAGGAACAGCACAATCCCATAGCCTCCTGGATTTCCTAAACGCTGCTCAAATCTGATTTGCTGTCCTCAAACAAGTTCTTGTTGTCCCTCACTAGGTCTCCCTGTGCACAGACATGACAGCATGCCCCCTTTTAATTTTTCCACTTGATTTGGGTATTAATCTCTTAGCAACAAATACTGCTCTTTCATTTTCAGCCTTAAAAACTCAACTTACTCTTCCTTATTCCCTTCCACGGGACTTTATACCATGGAAAAAGGATACAGCGCTATAATACTTCACGATCATGAGTCAGATCCTCAAAGTCCTGACCATCCAAACCAGGATATTGTAACATCTCTGTCCTTTTTATTTGCATTCTGCTCTAAGACCACTGCAAGTTCATCTTTTCCAATGTTTTACATTTCAATGACTAGACATGCCCTTTAACTGAAAGCCAAGACACTCAGATTTAGGAAAAAAATGAAGATACAAACACTCTTGAGAAAAATCAAAAGACTTAATAATACTGAAGGCTGTTTCAACAACGGAGCTGAAAATGGGTGTTCACAAGCTGGCAAGCAGAACCATGGTGTATTGAGAGAGAATTACAAGCCTGGAGAGCTTTTGTATAAAGAAGGTTCTCTGGTTCAGTGATTCAGAGCTTCAAGGGACCTCATATCATTTCCCAATGCTCAGGAAGGAGCACATTCTATCCACCAGTTACGTTACCGTATCCACAGATCAGCCTGTTTCAGAAGTATTTGTGGAAATGAGTACACTGGATATCTACTACAAGGACGCCCTCATATTTACACTTTCCATCCACTGACACTGAACTATTAATAGCAGTAACTACCCCTGCAGCCTCCTCCTGCTGCCACTGAAGGAATCTGATGACAGATCAAAGGTCAAAGAACTAATGATTTAAACCACATTCCAGCCTGTTGATACAGTGTCTGTTTACATGACCCTAACTTCAAGGGAGGAAGATCCAGTTCAAAGTCAAAGATTACAGAGCATCCCAAAATCTAAACTTAGGAACTCTCCCCCTGTCCTGTCCAGCTCATTGAGCTACAGATGATGCAGCCTTGCAAAAGTCATTGCATAAAAGAAACAGACCCGCATCTGGAACCTGAACATACCACAGAGGACTCTGGAAAAACAATATTGGTGTGGACTTTCCCAAATAACCTCAAAAAACATCTGACACAGAAAAGGAAAATTAGCACATTTGTTCCATAATTAAGAAACCGTTTTATGCTGATTTATAATGATGTTTTAGTAGAAGCTAGAAGTTCCTTCACCATGGGCTACTCTGGGTTTGAGGAATGCTTCTTGTAAGCCAAAACTTGGCTTTGCTTTATAATTAGCAAGTATATTAGCTGGTAATTGCCCTTTGATATCTGATATCGCTACAGCAAGTAAAACATCCATACACAGCAAAACATTTCCACGTGGCATAGCCTAATCAAAGTACAGACATTTTTGCCACACACTGAGGACTAGAACACTTTAAGACACAACCCACATTCTCATGGCAGGATTGTTTATTTAGGAGATTTTTACAAGGGCCCGTATTGATAGGACAAGGGTAACAGGTTTAAATTGAAAGCGAGGAGGTTTAGATTGGATATCAGGAAGAAGTTCTGCCCAGAGAGGGTGGGGAGCACTGGAACAGGTTGCCCAGAGAAGCTGGGGATGCCCCATCCCTGGAAGTGTTCAAGGCCAGGCTGGATGAGGCTTTGAGCAACCTTGTCTAGTGCAAGGTGTCCCTGCCCATGGCAGGCGTGTTGGAACTGAATGGTCTTTAAGGTCCCTTCCAACCCAAACCATTCTGTGATTCTTTGAGATCTTTTTTTTTATTTATTTATTAGTTCAGGCCACCACATGGAAGGTAACTATCTTTTCCAATTTATATTCAGCATCAAGAACAAGGACACTGTTTACTGTTTGAAATACTCCTATAACAAACATTACCTTGCTAATGCAACCTGTCTCTACACGTACCAAAATCAAGCTCTGTAAACTTTACATAGTTACTATGACAGTTTAAAGCTTGCTCTGTTAAGCAATATCGTATTGTATTGAAACCTGCATTTCCCTCTATCCCAGAATATGAATCACAGGCTGAATAATAAAGTCTTTTTATAGCAATTTTGCTAGTCTCAAAGTTTCCTCTCCTAGTACAAGCAGTAGGGTAGAATGAACTGTAATCAACTGACAATTATAGAAAATTATCATTTATATCAGATCACAATTTAAATGGAGATATTAAAATCTCTGCTCATGCACATCATAACTGAGGGACTGATCCACACACATTTACGTATGTCGCATGAATAGTCTTAGTTTTTCTAGAAAAGTTGTCGATGTACATAGATGCTTACAAGAAAAACTTTTTAAGCTATTAATTCATTCTTGTTAATGTTAATGCTTATTAAAGACAAAAAATAAACCAGTGATGTCTTCAGCTCAGTCTGTTCTCCCTCCATACTCATCTAACCCTTCCTCCTCTCAGCCTGCTGCTTCCATTGCCGGGTAACCATTAACATTTTGGTATGGTAACAGTAGTGTACTCCTCGTAAAACAGAACTGAAAGCTTATTACAACCGGAGATAACACAGAAACCTGTTAAACTTGCATCTGTAACACACAACAGTTTAATTCCCTAGCAAGCTAAGTGACTTTATTATAAAACGGCCCAAAACAACTGCTCTGAATAGCACTCGTGGAGCTGCACTCCTAACTGTCCCTTGTGCCTCCCTGTCCACCAGACCCCTGTTAACTCCAGCTCCCAGTCAGCGGCTGGCTGCCTGAGATGCTTTGCCTATCCGGAGGCCAGCAGAGCTCACCTTTTGGCCAGCAGAGCTCACCAAAATGGTGAGCCACACCATTTCCAGAATTTGTTTTTTTATTAGCTCTTATCTGGAGCCCCAAATAGAAGCAGCCAGCCCTGCCAGGCAGAGAGGGCAAACCAGCTGCATACACTGGGTTCTCAACAGGCAGGGAGTAACAGCTAGCTGCATCTTATCACCAGGGAATGGGAACACATCCATCGGTGGAGGTTTTACTTGTCATCTTTGTCAGGAAGCAGTTATGCTGTTCTGAGAAAGATTCCAGAGGTGGACGCAGCACCAAACTGAAGATGGCTGATCACATAAAAGGACACATGAGTATGCCCGGAGCTGGCTGATGCAGCGTGGAGGCTTAAGTCACCATGGTCCTGCAGTGCAGCAACCACCGACATGCATGACAAGCAGTCACGGAGCGCCCGTGTGTCTCTGACATATCCTAGGGAATTATGATCATATCAAATACGCTTAATGGTATGATGCAAACACCAAGGTGAAGGCATGGATGGCAACAACAACAACAGAATCCCACACAGAGCAAAATAAGAAAGAGGCTCACAGCGAAACCCTGCTACTATACAACTGGTGTGACAGCTTTATGAGGACACGGGTTTTTTCCACACCTTGACTAGACTATCAGACTAAGCCTACGGGTGAAAGCTGAAACATTTTCACCAGGTGTGACAGCAGTCAGACAAGTACATGCTTGTTCAAGTCTTTCACACTGGAGATGAAGTTGAAGTCTCAAGAGAAAACTTTACTATACAGAAAGGAGAGAGCTGCATCTACAGGTGGCTTGGCTGTCTGATACGTTCTGGTCTCGGTATCAGGATTTGTTTCCTCTGGCTAACAACATACTGTATAAGCTGAGGGGGTTAAGTCAACCTCCTGTAGAGCTGCAGTCATCTCAAATTAAAAACCCATTAGACTAAGAGGGAAAAAATGATTACGTGAACAGCTGTGCCCCACTTGTATGAACCATATGGTCAGACAACATGCAATGTAAGTAAATAACTATATGGTTTAAACAGAAAGTGCATTCACTTAAATACAAGAGGCCAACAGTAAACAAGCTCTGCAGCTCAGGTATAAGATTCAAAGCAAGACTTGGAGCAACCTTCTACACAACCTCCTTTCCTTCCCCTCAGTGAAAGACAACTGAACACAAGTACAACGCTCACTTGCTGACAAACCCAAATAATAAGGCACAGACTGAGTGAGCAGCAAGAGAGAAGTTTCTGAGATTCAGCACTGGCTTTCTCAGTTCGAACTGGGATGTGCGGATACCCCAAACACACAAGAAGCCACATTGTCATTCCCTACTAACTGGTAAGCACACACATGCACCAGTAATTAACTGTAAATGTTTGCATATTGAATTTGTTCTGTGTTACTGATCACCTTGGTGCCTGTACATGTGCGATTCGGCCATTTCACCCCCCATTCTTTACCCTCCCCACACACAAATCCTTCAGATTCTGAGCAATATGGATATCCACGATTGGCTGATTGCAGGAAGCATGACCTCTTGTCACTGCTTCACGGTACATTTGCACAGACTGACTCATTTCTAACAGAGGAGTATCAAGGTCTTACCTTTGCAGGTGAAGCATTTGATGTGGAAGTGCCTGGCCTGGACACGGAGTACTTCACCTTTACATGGCTCCCCGCATTTATGGCAGTGGATGACCGGCTTCTCAGAGGGGTGGTGAGGCTCCTGAGGATGGGCCACTGTAAAACACAAAAGTAGGATTTAAACCCAGACAAAACAAGTATTTTCTCCTGTACATAAATCTGTGTTCTCAGACACTTCTCATCATGACAGAAATGTGTCCACATTTTACACTCTGCTCTTTTTTTAAATACAACCATTTCATAATCCAGTAGAGTAAGCCATTCACGTCAACTACCACCTCTTTCCACTGCAGCTGCCGTGGAGAGATGAGGAAAAATTCCCTCCCCAGTTTCAGAATACCTAAGCTTTTCTTTCCAAAAACACGAGCGTGTGCGAACCATTCAATAAGCACACAAGGCAACAAGAACTGGGCTACTTTGATCCAAGAAAGAATACAATCCAAGCAAAAAGAACGAAAAGGAAAGCGATTCCAAATCACGTTTTGGGAAACCAGATGAACCCCGCAGCCTGACTTTGGACGCAGATGACTATATTAAAGTACAAACATTTCCATTTTTCTATAGCAAAACACAACACCTTACCTAACACATGGAAAGCACATCTGAAGAGAAAAGAAGCCAACATTATTTGTTTCTACTTCCATTAACTGTAGCAAGAATGACTCTCTGCGTGCAAATTAGAGATGTTAAGTGACAGAAATGACCAAAGCATTTGCAATACAGTCAGGGAGACAAAATTCCAGGTATTGACAATCAATCCACTATCCCACAGCCCTGAGCAGAGCTTCCTGGATAGGAACAGCATAGATTTGTGTCAGCTTTACTGCTTACTTCATTGTCGTAATAAAAGTTTTATTGCTCCACATTTGGCTTCTGTAAAAAAACATTTAACTGTCTCTTCAGACGTCTTATGGCAGCTTAGGGCCCCAGCAGAAATGCAGAGGTGTAAACTGGAGCAAGACTGAGTCTCAAATGCTCTGTTTGAAGCAGAAAATATTACCCAGAATGTTCCCAAACAAAACTATGTTCCTTCGAATCTCCCTCCCACAACCCATTCTAGCAGTAGAAAGTTGTCCTCCTTGTAATGTTCTCAAGACAGTGATGCTCACTAGAACCTTTCAAACAAAGCAGCTCTCTGCCCATGCCTCTGTTTTTACACCGTTCCTGTCCTGCTTTGCTCGGTCTGCAAGGACTGAGTGCTGATACACCTACATCACCCTCACTGTCACTGGGAATCCTCTTCATGATTTTCTCTTGGTGTTCTCTAAAGCTCTTTTCTTCTCCTGATCAATTCCTGGCATCTCCCCAGCCAGGATTACGCTTTTTTTTTTTCAGGTTGCTGCTAGTGCAGCAACATAACAGATACCGTGCTCATATTTACTGCACCAGTTTCTTCCCCTTCTTCAATGAATTTCTAGGGGAAAAAGCCCCATCGCTCCATGAAATCCTTCTATATTCCTCTCCTTTATAAATGCCTCAGTGAAGAAATGCTGCAACCATTCTGCATTACATAAATACAAGATTAATAATAAAAAAGCCCAACATGTGATAATGGGCGTAACGGCATCAAGAATAGAGGATAAAAAAAATATTCCAAGCAATAACTTCTGCTGTAAGTTCAGCCAACTAATACAGCAGCTGTGATTTCGTTCCCCCACCCCACCTCAATCTTCAAAGAAAATGGCTGAATTCTTCTACACAAGCTTGAAGTTTTTAATACCTCCTCCTCTGGTAGCCCCATTTCAACTACTTCCCTCGAGCAGTTATTCTGCCCATACTGGTGAACAGAATGTGGTTGGCAGTGGCAATTAGCAGCTCCATTTAAATGCCTTAGCTTGGCTGAACCTCATCTAATAGTCTGCAATGCAATACTATTTCTGGAGTGGAAGTTGTTATTCTTCCAAGCAACACTATTAACTATTAACTTGTAACCAAGGAAACACATAGTTTATGCAGTGAGAAAGAAAATAAGACACAAACATAGAGACAAGTGCTAGCAAATTTAGTTATTATGAGGAAAATTCCCCCTCAGATTCAGACAGCCCAAGACGGGCCTGACGCCAACTGAAGTAAAGGTAACAGGATGGAGTTTTCGAGTTGCTCAAATGTGGAACTGGATCAAGGATGTGGGCAAGCACTCCTGGATATATACGGTGCAGTGTGAAATGTGCACCTGCCACATTCTGCTCTCAAACTCACATGTGGAGGGCACCCTAACGTATCCTGCATGCCAGGTTCCCGATCTGGGATTGATCTGAAAGACAAGCTTTTGCTCTTCACTACAGAGTAGATCAATGCTTTCAAGCCTGGTCCAACAACAGTTCTGCCTTTACAGACATTTAAATGAATACAGACACTGCTGGCTGCTATTTCCAGACTGATCTCTTAAGTGAAGCTAATTATGGTGCTTGTCTTACTGGCCTTAATTTGGCACTGTAGGTCAAGATTGAGTAATTGACTTTTGTTCTCCTACAAGGAATTGCTTGCAAGCTTTTTCCTTGGGATAGATGCAATACATAGAAGGCTTCTCAGTGGCAGAGGTGACCCTTTATAGTTATCGGTGAGGACAGAATAGGAATTTAAAAAAAGAAAAAAAAGGAAAGAAATACCTTTACAAAGCAGCTTATTTAAATGTTTCAGACTGAAGCCCAGCTAGCCTACTGTAAATGCAAACTGGGAGCTGCTTTGGGTCTGAAAACCCTGAGCTAGGAGCTCATCTCCTTACAGGGATTTCCCATCTTGAGACAGTAAATATTTTGGGCTCTGCCTGCACCAACCACCCCACACCAGCCGCCCGCTCGAGGATGCATTCTCAGGCACCACGCGCCAGCAGCAATGGCGCAATAAGGTAACTGTATCATGACTAAGACAATAACACACGCCAGCCAGTAGACTTAGCGACAGGATGTTAATTTAGGATCTCAATTACCCAGGTTCCAACCCCTGCTCCACAACAGGTATCCGTGCTCTTTGGATGGCATGCCCTTAACTTAGCCTTAACTTAGCCCTTAAAAGGCTGAAGTCTCTGAACCTGTAACCTGTCAGTTTAAATTAGGCTGAGTCTGAGTTTCTGTGTCTTGAGTGTCCCTGACTGAAGCAGGGGTAGCAGCACCATCAGCCCTACCCTACTGAGAGAATATATACAGGTGACAAAGTTCCCAGGCACTGGGATGGATATACTCACGTAAGTATCTAAGTCATTCCTGACGGGTTTATATCCCGTGTATAAACCAGCCGTATTTCTGGAAGCAGCGTTCATTGGAAAGCGTGTGAGTGGACAAACACTAACTTGAAGAGCTGCCTTCAATGAAACTTCCAATCCAAATACATTAACACCATGACTATGTTCCAACTTAAAAGAACACAAATCCACAACTTTCTGAGGGAGAGGTGCTACCAGAGCAACACATTCTAGGTTCACCACTGGGGCTCACAACTGGCTTCGCATCACAAAGTGCGTACTTACTGCATGGGCAGTGTCATGTAAGCACAAGTCAAGCATTTACCAGTTCCAGTCTACTGCTGTGAACCCATACTTGTCTATACACAAATCACGTCAGATGAAGTCAAGATGTGATGCTGTAACAGTTTAGCCTAACAAGTATAACAAGGTGCACAGCTCTTTCTGTGCAAGATTAAACACAGTGTACCGGCCTAGCTCACATCAGAAAGGTGCAAGTGCCTGCTAACACAATGGATCTAGTTTCAAGCAAATGGCATCAAAAGTACCTAGGCTACTAAGCGAACTGGATTTTTTAGACTGGCTCTTGTTACACTAGTGCAGTGTCTACACCTGAACAAAGGGATGCTGGAAGCACGCACACAGATCAAACATGCAGCAATTTCTTTGAATGTTTAGTCTTATCTTTATCCCTTCAGCACTTCTCAAGATTATGAAAGCTACAGTACCTTTAAAAGTATAAACTGTCATGGTCTTTACAGTTTTACAGAGATTAATTACAAAAGATCATCAACAAAACTTTCCAAAAGTACCAGGTTGCTTCATAACAATTTTACCTTCCAGTGCTGCTGAGCAATATCTGAAGCCTTTTCTTTTTTTCTTTGTTAATGAGCATACATGAGATATGTGAAATCAATGCCCCATTAAACATCCAATTTATCCAGAGTAACATGTACACTGACTGGAACATCTGGGAAGACTGGATTACATTGTTTAATTCAGGGGGAGAGGAAAGAAAAGAAAAAAAAAAAAAAAAGAGAAATCAACAGCACCTTTTCTGTGAGGAATATTGTCCTGTCAGCGGTGCTTTATGTAGGGCAAATCATTGTACAAAGGTGTAATAGCAATCGTATGTTTTGCTGCATCAGCCAGAAAAAGGACCTCAGCACTCCTACCAAACCCTTCTGAAATGGAAATTTGAGCAACTACCTGAAGAGTAAGGGTTGTTGAATAAAAAAAACCAAGGAAAATAAGTACTGCAGCCTCCCTTATTGATGATTCTCTCCCTGAACGCAAACTGCTAGGAAACCAAAGACTCAAACTAAGTCACTCTTAGCTGCAGATTCTCGCTGGCAAGACTCCACGTCTCTGCTGCAAGCCACAGAATATTCCGGCTTTTTATTGGAAGCCAGAAAGAAGCTTCTGGGAAATGCCTTGCCTATGCGTTTGCTGCAAAGCAGAGGTCACAGCAAAATATGCTGGGTTCTGTTCTACTCTAAATTGAAGTAAAAAAGCAGCTTCTGCTAAATTTAATCAGGAAGAGGATATGGGCCACTGTGCTTTTAAAGTGGAGTTTTTGTCATTTTCACATTTGCACGCCTACCTTCACAAATAAACCTGGAGTTAGGCTCAGTCAACTCCGACCATGTTGTAGCAGGTGTCAGTGCAAACTTCATGCTAGGACATAAAATTTTTCTGACTTCGGCCTTCACAACCTCTGGGCTCTTGTGCACAGCCCTGAGACCATGCTGTGCCCATAGCGGCAAGGGCACTCTCAGGATTTCACAGCAGTGTCATTCTTATCTTAAGAGCGGCCAAATACAGACACCACACTCTGAAATGCTAACTTTCAACTGGCTGCTGTGTTTTCTTGGCTGAAGACTGAACTATTAAGACAGAGAAATACAGCAAAGATTTAATGGTGT